CTGTGCCAGCCCGTCCGCCGCCGCCCCAGCTTCGAGGTAGGCGCCTCCCGCCTGCCCCTCCGCGCCCGCTCCTCTAAGCTCAACAAGAACTCAGAGCCCCGAAAGGAGGTGGTGCGGTGCTGAGACCATTTTGAACACTCGCGCAGGGACTTTCTTCTTCTTGATTTCCTTCATCTTTTAAATGAGGAAACGCGGGCTCCGAGGGGTTGGGTAACTACGCCCACTTCTCACCGCAAGTGTTCGAGCCCAGACCCGGCTCCACGCGCGAGCGCCGTTGGTTACTGCGGTGTCGCTGCGGCGCGCCAGCGGGCGGGCGGGGAGCTGGGCAGTGCCGCTCCCTGAGCAGCGAGGGGAGGACGCCGCCGGGAGGGGGCGCTGCAGCCGCGCGGGCGGGCAGGGTGCTCTGCCTCCCTCTGCTTCCCGATACCCACCCCCTTTCCTCGGGCTTCTCAAACACCACCCAAAAAGGGGGCTAAAAATGGGTCTTTCGGTGTATTTTCCTTCTACTCACTTAACAATTTGTAAGGCCTTAGGCAACTTGAATCAAACTGTTTCGGAGGCAGCGTGAAAACTACCTGACCGCCTAGAGTCTGATGACTGCAGCAGAAACTGGACATCAGAGAGGTGAAAAGGCTAAGTCCAAAGATGGTTATTTTGTAGTGCAGGAGCAATTGCCAGTTCTTAATCTAGCCATTTCAGTTTGTGCTGGGCAGTTCAATGCCAATTTAAAAAAAAGTATACATTGTTTAGGAGAAAAAAATAAAAGTGGCGTAAAGTTAACGATGGAGAACCTGCCTAGAATGGAAACCTAACATCTGAAAGACTTAACTGTAGCTGCAATACCTCTTAGCAGGGTAGACAGTGCTGTGGGCATTTGGAAAACCAATTGTGCAAACAAGCAAAACATTTTTATGCTCATAGTAAACGGTCTTTTTCTCTACTGACCTTTTCTATATTTTTCAAACCCCCAAGACTTTTTTCCCTTGTATTTTCAATCGGTTCATCTAGCTATTTTTTAGAATTTCTATTATATTACAAGCCCTCATAGTTTTAAAAACAAGTTCAATTTTAATTATCAGAATGAAAATAAAGATTAATAAGAAAATAAAGTTAAAGAAAAACTGGCCCCCAAAATTGATGGGATCTGTCATATAATCAAATATAAAAAATTCTAAATAAAACATTCAAAATAGTTGCCCTGATCTCTTTCCCCATTAGCATTATTAACATTTTAATAAACTCAGATAAACATCAGAGCTGGAGTGAATCTCTGTGCAAAGCACTACTGAAAAATGGTTCTGAAATCTAACTGATTTATGAAAAGTGATAACCTGTTGGACCAATGAGATTATTTCAATAGAAAAAAATAAAGGATAAGGTTTATGATGGAAATATGAATCTAAAAACAAGGAGCTGTTCAATTTCACATTTTAAAATTTTTATTACTTTAGTGGGCAATTGCTTAGCAGAAAAATGAGTTATGCACAGTTAATTCTGAAAAGTAAAACAAAATAAAACAAAACAAAAATCTGGAGGTTGGAAAATTGAGAAATGCCCAGTTTAACTTTTGTAGCTAACTCTCCCCACTACTCTTCCCTACAGCGGCCAGGTGATCTCCCACTGCTTAAAATACTCTAATGGCTTCGCATTGATCTCAGGATAAAATATAAAATCCTCCCTGCTCTACAAAGCTTTACTTGATCTTGCTACCACCTACCTTACTAGTTTCATCTGATTCCATGTACTTAAAGGATTTTGTGTTCTAGCCACACTGACTTTCTTTTGGTTCCATAAATTCAGAATTCTCTTGACGTATTGAGACCTTTGCATTTTTTTTTTATCTTTCTGCTGAGATTTTTTTTTTTTGTCCATAGGTATATTTCCTCCATCCTGTCCAGATCATTGCCCAGATTTCAGTCCTTTCCTAAGTGTGTAGTCCCCAGTGAAGTTTTCCTGCCCAACTTGGAAGCAGGTCCCCCTTATGAGCTGTCAAGGCCCCCTCCATTCCCGTGCAGCCCTTAACCTATAGTACTTAAATAATGGGCCTCTTCTCTCTTTTTAACCTCTTTGTCACTAATGCCTAGCAATATACTCTTCCTATACCTTACTGGATGGAATTCAATAAGTATTTACTGAATCAATTAATTAACACCTCATTTGGGATAAAATAATAATAATCAGTGAGCCTTCTGTGCTTCTAGAATTATCTTTGGGGTAAAAATACTAGAGAAACACAACATTGTCTGCTTTAGAATTTAACTTGAGTACTATTCTAAGAAGTCAGGTTCACCAAAACTCATTCATAGAAATGCAGTATCTATGGTTCCACCTACAGCAGCCAGAAACTTGAGGGTTATCAACCTCCTCTTTTCCTCTTGCTTTACTCATTCAAACAGCCACAAAGTCCTGTTAATTTTGCATCCTTGGGTCTTTCAGATCCGTTCATTAATTTCACCTGTCTGCTGCTCCACATCAGTTGAAGTCACCATCATCTCTCGCCTGGATCCTCCAACAGCTTCCCTATTAGATATTCTGCCTCCAGTTTTAGCCTCTCTTGAATCCATTTCCACTTCAGTTGAAGGGATTTTTCTAAAAATGCATACATAAATGAAGACCTACAATAGAAATGTATGAATTCTCCTTTAAGTCCTTTCCTTCAGGATAAAATATTAATTTCTTAAGAGGGCTTTCAAGGCCTCTTACAATTTAACCCTGCCTGCCATTCTCTGGTTCTTCCTGCTTTCGCAATCCAAATTCTAGGCGAGAGCCATACTTAGTATTGTTACACAACCACCCGTTCTCTCTGCCTCCAAACCCTGGTACTTGCCACTATCTCCTCCTAGCTATCCTTCCCTACTTTCCAGGTTGGCTACTTTCCCCTGCCGCCAGTTATATTGGGACCCCTATGCCTATGTCTTATTCACTCTTGTACTCTCAGAGCCTCCAGAGCCCGGCATATGTTTGGTGTTTAATGTTATTTTGGGGAGGTCAGTATATTATTCTTGGTTTAAGTGATGGTGCTTGCTTATCCCTGTTGTCTTGGCAGGTCTTTGTGTTTCATGTTGGTGACAAAACTTGGAAATCTTATGACTGGTCACAGATTACAACTGTGGCACTTTTTGGAAAATATGACTCAGAACTTATGTGCTATGCTCATTCAAAAGGAGTCAGAGTAGTGCTGAAAGGTGAGTGACAGTTTTTAGTAGGTGTGTCTGGACAACTGGTAAGTTTACTTGCATCATGTGCTATTCCTACTTCCCAAAAAATTTCCTTTCATGTTCATCTGGTATATTTTTTAGCATCCTAAACTCAATCTTAAATATTGTTTAATTCATTTCGCAAATATAAGTATTATTTAAGAATTAAATAAACCACTGCATCATTTTCAGCAAAACGTGACTCCTAATTAGCGTGACGACCTATAGCTAGTCCTGGTCCACAATTTCTGCTTCTACTTTGAGGATAATTTTACTAATTACTCATAACAGTTATTTTGAAGATAAATGAGTAATAACTTTTTATTACTTTGGTATATTATTTCTCCATTTGGAAGACTTAAATTGGGAGCTTACTATTCCAAAATAATGAGATGTTTAAAGGACATTTTGAATTCTTTCGAATGGGTTTGTGAAGTAAATGTCATTAAAATGTGAAAAGCACATATGCACAAAAGATGTGTATTTCTTTCACAGGAGATGTGTCCTTAAAGGATATCATTGATCCTAATTTCAGAGCATCCTGGATATCTCAACAAGTTAGCTTGGCCAAAACACAATACATGGATGGAATTAATATAGACATAGAGCAAGAAGTTAATTGTTCATCACCTGAATATGATGCATTAACTGCTTTAGTCAAGGAAACAACAGATTCTTTCCATTGTGAAATTGAAGGATCTCAGGTAAAAATTCCTTTGATATTTTTGGAAATCTCTAAATTTTCTTATCAAAATGTATTCATGAAGGTATAACTAATAGGATCTCAGTTTTATAGTAATTGAGTAGAAAAAATTTCACTTGTGTCCTAAAAAATATTTCTGGAACATTGGAGGTTTTATTAAAGAAGTTTTATAGGATTTTAAGGTGGTAAATCTAAGATGTCTCTAAATCTGACATCAAGATACAACACAGATTGCCCCACCTTCTAACCTCACAGCAGGACTAGAAATATTAGATAGGCAAAGCGATCAGCAAGAATCAGGAAGGGCTATGCTGTTCAGGCCTGCTTTCACCAGTTCAGGACAGAGACAGCTCTTGCCTTAGAGTAGAGGTACGTCAGCTGCTCCATAGACTCTGAATTACTTGTAAAGCTCCTGAGGCCCACTAAGGCTCAAAGGACTAACTCCATAGATCTAGTCAGAGCTATGACAAAAGGCAGTGTGCTTCCCACTGCCATAGTGAGCATGATTAGAGCAGAAGATTATAGTGCAAGGCATCTTGCCAGGCAATTTATGGGTAACAAAGGATAATGTGGCCCCAGAGTAGTCATTCTCAATCCTGGCCATATATCAAGATAGCAAGTAGTCATGGGAAAAACACACACACACACACATACTCTCATACTTACACTCACACTGGAACCAACTCCCAGAGATTACTATCCACATGGCTTAAGTGAGCCCAGAGTCCATATTTTTAAAGAGTTTCATAGGAGATTATGATTAAGAACTCCTAGGCTAGGAGATTCTGAACCAAATGGAGACACAGGAAACTCTGGACTTTCCTGCCTCAAGTGGACGCACGGAATGTACAGCTACAAATGAAACAATTTCCTTGGAGAGAAATCCAGAATCTAGCTGAGTGCCTACACATCCGGTGATTGAGAAAATAACCACATCGAAATGGGTAGGAAAGGGTGAGACATGCTCTTGCCATAAACTCCACTCCTGACACAGTACCATACAATAGGGAGGGAACCCCCAACTACAGCTTCTCTCTGAGGAGTGAAAGGTTTGGAAAGCACATTTAGTGCTCCAACTTTTAAGGCTCCCACATGAAGGATAGGCCCCCCCAAACATCTAGCTCTGAAAGCCAGCAGGGCTGGCATTCACCAATCTCACAGGATGGTAGCAAACAAAGAAGAGGTTCCCACGGCACTTGAGCACTTGCCCTGGGTATTCCCCGCAGGGCTCAGCTCAGAAAGAGCAGACAAAAAACCATGTCTTCTAGTCTTCTCCTGGAAGGGGTTGACTACATACTTTACAAGCTGCTGCAAGAGGGTCTGGCTTCTAATTAGAAGACCTCTAGGTAGGGACTGCAATCCTCCCTAGACCCCAAACAAAATAACAAGATGAAACATTATAAAAAGGCCTTGATGAAACTGGGATAAGTGATTTACTCAATAGTGAATTCAAAATAATAGTCACAACGTGGCTCACTGATGTTGGGAGAGTAATGTCTGAACAAAATGAGAATTTCAACAAAGAGACAGAAGATATTAAAAAGTACTAAGGAGAAATAGAAATGAAGAATAACAACAGAACTAATTCAACAGAACTGGGTTCAACAAATAGTGAATCCAGCAGAAGGTCGGTAAACTTAAAGGCAGAGAATTTCATCTAATCAGAGCAGTAAAAAGAAAAAAGAACGAAAAAGACTGCAGATACCTTAAGGAACTTATGAGACACATCAAGTGGACCAATGTATGTTGTAAATATCTATGCATCCAACATTAGAGCACCCAGATATATCAAGCAAATGCTAACATATTTGAAGGAAGCAATAGACAGCAATACTACAGTAGTAGGGGACTTCTATACTCCACTTTCAGCAGTAGATATGTTGTCGGTGGGAAACAGACTCTTCCACAGGATTGCAAGAAAAACATTTCAAGGATCCACACATGGGCGATTGTGTGATGCCTCGTCGTTTATTTGTGATGCAATATCAAAAGAGTGCTCCTCCTGGCTTCCCAATGTCCCATCTCTCTCCATCCCGCCATGGGAAAAGTCCAACCATATCTTCAGCAGGGCCAGAATAAAAATGAATGCCCAGAGTTTCTGCTTCATAGTCCTTGGGAGCCTGCACAGTTTGCCACGGGCCAGGTGGCCACTAGACCTGCATGGGCATGTGTTCCCAGGCGGGGGAGAACACTAAGGAACAGGGCTGGTGCGTGTTACCGAGCAGAGAGAGCTTCTTTGTTTACCTGGAATTATGTATTCTCAGGCTTGGGAGGTACCAGAAGCTTATTCAAAATAATGAATTAGCTTCTCACTTTCTAGGGCTTGCATTAGGGTCTACTCCCTAGCCAATGGTCTTTTCCCCAGATTAGACTGACAGGCCTCTATGGTCCAACACCTCTCCCCTGTGCCATTTTTACTTTATTGGGCATGTGTTTGCCTCTGCCTTTTTTCTATCCCTTTCCCCAGTGATCTGTGGGCAAAGGACTGGTGGTTCCCTGGGGGGAGTATGAAGCTGTAGCTTCCTGGTGAAGCAATCAGGCCTCTGCTTCCCAGCTGAATATGCTCAACAATGTCTCCCCCTTTGTTTCCTTTCCCATCAATAATTAGCTAACTACAGTAACAGACAGATTATGCAGACAGATAAGTAATAGGGAGACTTCAATAAGGAAATGACATATTAGAGCACCAATTTTCAGTTCCTTTCATCTCATGGCACACACAAACTACTAAAATTCTGTGGCACACCAAAAAATAGATTTTTTGCCAGTCTGACAAAAATTGGTATATTTTTTATTGATTTATTAAAAAATTATAATTATCTACCCTTTTTGCTCCAAAGTGACTTTTTAAAAAATCAGGTGCCTATACTTGTATATAAGGATTTCTGGTACCAAGAATTAGCCAATCAGACACAACCTTATTATACAACATGACAGTAAGATGAAGCTTTATTATATGTCTTATATATTTATGGTTCAAGACAGGGCAACACCAAAGGCTATTGTTATGTTGGCTGTTGTCACTTTTTGACAATCTAAGGCAGGGGTGGGGAACATCTGGCCCCTGGGCCCTATATGGCCCGTGAAATTATTTGGTCTGGCCCTGCCAAGGCAACCGAAGTGGGACTCAAAATTCAATACATCTAGGAGCTCTTTTCATAGCTAATTTTTAAGTTGATAATTGTGTATGGCCCATAAATAATGTTATAAATATCCAAATGGCCCTTGGCAGAAAAAAGTTTCCCCACCTCTGATCTAAGGGAAAAGAGGTCAATGCCCCTGACTAAATAGTCAGGTATTTCATGTTTAAAAAATTCTTGCGGCACACCGGTTAAAAATAGCTGTGTTAGAGCAAAGTGACCTAAGAGACATACACAGAATATTCCATCCAACAGCAGCAGAATACATATCTTCTCAAGTACACATGGAACATTTTCCAGGAGACAGCATATGTTAAGCCACAAAACACATCTTAATAATGTTTAGAAGACTGAAATTATATCAAGTGTCTTTTCTGACCACAATGGTATGAAACTAGAAATCAATTACAAGAAGAAAACTGGAAAACTCACAAATATGTACAAATTAAACAGTGTGCTACTGAACAACCAATGGGTCAAAGAAGAAATCAAAATTGAAATAAAAATATCTTGAGACAAACGAAAGAGAATAAAACATGCTAAAACTCATGGGATGTAGCAAAAGCAATTCTAAGAGGGAAGTTCATACTGATGCATGCTGTCATTAAGTTGAAAGCTCTCTAATAAACAGCCCAACTTTACGCTTTAAGGAAACTAGAAAAAGAACAAACGAAGCTCAAAGTTAGAAGAAGGAAATAACAATGATCAGAGTGGAAATAAATGAAATAGACTATCAAGACAATAGAAAAGATTAATGAAACTAAGAGCTGGGGCTTTTTTAAAGTAAAACTGACAAACTTTTAGCTAGACTAAAAAAAAACAGGACTCAAATAATGAAAATCAGTAATGAAAGAAGAGACATTACAACTGATAAAACAGACATCCTAAGGATCATAAGAAACGACTATGAACAATTATACAACAAATTAGATAACTTAGAAGAAATTGATAAATTCCGATAAACATACAACCTTGTTACTGTTGGTAGAAATGTAGAAATGTAAACTCATACAACCACTACAAAAAATAGTTCCTCAAGAAATTAAAAATAGAAGTAATATATAATTCAGGAATCCTACTTCTGGGTATATATCCAAAGAAAACAAAATCACTCTCTCAAAGAGGTATCTGTACTCCCATGTTTATTGCAGCATTATTCACAACAGCAAAGATATGAAAACAGCCTAAGTGTCTGTCAACAGATGAATGGATAAGAAATGTGATTACACACACACGCAGGAATATTATCCAGGTTTAAAAAAGAAGAAAAGCCCTGGCCATGTAGGTCAGGTGGTTGGAGCATTGTCCTGATGCGCCAGGGTTGCGGGTTGGCTCCCTGGTCAGGGTGCATTCCAGAATCACCCAATGATGCATAGATGGGTGGAACAGCAAATCGATGTTTGTTTCTCTCTCTCTCAAAAAAAGAAGGAAATCCTGCCATTAGTGACTACTTGAATAACCTGGATGGAATTATGCTCAGGGAAACATGCCAGACAGGCAAAGGCAATTATTGCATGGTATTGCTTACGTGTGGAATATTAAAAAAACAATTTGAACTCAGAGGAACAGAGAGTAGGTGCTTGCCAGGGGCTGGGAGAAGTAAAGGAGTCTGGTGAAAGGGCATAAATTTCCAATTAAAAGATGAATAAAGTCTGAGGATTACTATATAACATGGTGACTATAATTGATAATGCTATATAAGTGAAATTTGCTTATAAAGTAGAATTTAAGTGCTATCACAGATTTAACAAAAAGTAAATATGTGAGTTGATGGATGTGTTAATTAACTTGATGGAATCCTTTCATAATATATATGCCTATCAAATCATCACATTGTACACTAAGTATATTACAATTTTATTTGTCAGTTATACCTCAACAAAGCTAAAACAAAATATTAGGCCTAGACAGTGATTTCTTTGAAGACAGGGACCAGCCCCTTTAAGCATGTCTAACACAATGTTTAAAAATTGTTAATCAAGTGAATGAATGATACCTGCCTTTCAAATGTTTAAAATAATTAATTAGAAAATATATATGTTACATATATATGTAAAATATATTTTATATTCTATATTATGTAAGTAATATTTACCAGTGATTCTAAACCTATCTCAAACCTGGGAGTGCTTGTTAAAAATATCCCCAGTGACTGACTGAGTAGATCTGGGATAGAGCCTAGGAACTGTATTTTTATCATGTTGTGCCAGATGATTCTGATACATTTGGTCAGCATGAATTTGAGAATTATTGAAAAATTAATAAATGATATAAGGATTGATCTGTGGATTTATGCAGGTAGGGAAGGTCTGTCAATGTGGAAACCAGATTTTCAGATGAGTACAATTTAAATCGAGAGCAGCAAATATCTGGTATGCAGGCTACTGGACTCCTCTCCTCACATGATTTGGTCTCAGAAACTTTTCCCTCATTCTTTACATTGCTGTTATTAATAGATTAGAATTGGTATGTGAACAAAATAACCTAGTTGCTAGTGCTGATTAAGCTATAGTGAGAAGGAAAGGAGGAAGAGATTGAGTAGACTTTGCAGGAGGAATACCTATTTCCCTGTTCGAGGGGTAAGTAAAACAATTTGGGCTCCTATGTCAAGTTCATGATAGGTAAATTAGTGGGAAGCACAGTTGCCAAGATAGGCCAGATTGTAGAAGGTCAAGAATATCAGACTGAAGAGTATGCATTTTATTCTGTAAGCAACAGATTACATTTGTAGAAGGTGCTTGGAGAAAAATCTTCTGTAGCAGTATATAAACTAGCCTAGAGGAGAAAGGGAAACTGGTAAGGACTAACAATAATAGGATTTATGGTTTGGATTGGGATGATGGCATAACCCTAACACTCAGCAAGTGTTCAATAACTATTTATTGAATTAATTAATGGAAAGGAAGGGGCTAAACAATTATGAGAAGCCCCGCAAAGGGAGATGTGAGATTAGTGATGGGGTGTAGGGAAAAGGAGTCAGAAAGGTTCTTAAACTAGTTACCCCCCC